GTGGACGCGCCTTCGAAGAAACATCTCGAAAAGTTCAAGCAGTTCCTCGTGACGACATATAAAGCCGACTTGGAAGGGGCTGATGAGGCTCAATGGCGGACATACGAGAAGCTGAAAGACTTGTTTGAGTTCCTGGACGACATTTTCGGGGACGACGAGCAGGAAGAGAAAGGCCTTGCTGACGATGAGTGGGAGGATGTCAAGCCTGCTATGGGGAAACGGTTCGTTTCTATCTTTGAAGAGTATATGACGGTTTGTTTGAATGCTTCGCAGACGAGCGGGAACGCTGACGGCGACGAGTGGTGACGAAGAGAGCACGCCAGTGCCGAGGACTCGAGCGTACAAGTATGTTTGGTCTGCAGCCATTCGTTAGCTCGACTAATGTCTTACAGAAAACGACGAGTCTCGACGCCACTTACTGATGATGGACCGCAGACGAGGACACGGAGTAGGACAGCGTGAGTGTAATGTTTCGTGTCCTGAGCTTGACTTAAGTGGAACTGTAGGCCGCCACGTCACGCGTCGAGGAAACGTTCTCCGAGTGTTGTCTGTATAAGCTCTGATAGTGATGAGGCGCCGGTTGAGAGTATCCCGCTGTCGCGACCGTCGTGAGTTCTTACCAGGCTGTTTATCGTTTTGTGCTTATATGTGCGGGTAACAGAAGAGGAAGGGCGAAGGCGTTGTAAGTCGTCCGCGCCAGCTCTGAACATTGCTAATATAGTTCATAGCATCCAAGGGAAAGGGCGACCCAAGGTTGAAACGCTGTCGCAGCTCGATAGAGCAATCAGCGCTGAACTGAGCTCGGGCGGGCGTCCATCGCTGGAGCGCCAAGACGACTCGATCTTTGGTCCCGCGGACACTAGTCCGGAGGAGGATTCTGAAGACGAGGTTGAGGATCTGGTCTTGGGGGATGATTAGGGAGGAGGTGTGTAGGTTGTATATGTTATGTTGTATTGTTTACTTTATTACCCGTTACATAGTTGGTTTGGTAGGGATAGGTATTTTAATAGTCTCGGCAGCTGTACGAATCATTGCTTTCTGCATCGCTCAAGCTCAAGCCCAGTGCTCAAGATCGCGAAGGCGGCCGTTGTGATATGCTGACTCCACGCCGCAATGTTGCTCTGTCATTTGTCGACACCATCCAGCTCGATTATTTTTGCTACAGTATACCATTCAACAATACCGTCTCTTGTATCCAAGAAGCTTGCCATTTCCACCAAGCGATAATTCGACAAACGCCGTCAACAGCGTTTGCCTCTTTCGTCACTTGTTTCCTCTCCATCACCTCCTTATTCAACAAGTATATTCAGGATAACTCCAGCCTTTGGCCGGAAAGCTGCTCGCGTCTTTTTCCCTACGAACACCATCTGCATTGCTTACATGGTCACAAGAAGTACGACTAGTACTGCCACTAACTCGCACTCTTCATTTCTATGCAAGAGTATACACGAGTTTCTCAGCACTGTATGCACCGCTCTTCATAATTTCTAAACCATGCAGGACATCTGCAACATGATTAGCACATATCTAACGACTAGGAGGGAGACGTTGACGTACCGTTGAGTCCGCCAGGCATTAAACGAAGTTTCGGAGCTTTCAAAGCGCCTTTCTCTAGCAGATTAGGGAGTTCCTTTTGCGTCCACCTGGAAATCAAGACTCGGTCCTCTGGGATGGCAGGTATTAGATGCCCGCCAAGTGCGTCCAGGATAAACTAGTAAGTCGAAGAATTAGGTTGGGACACCAAGACTCTCTAAATGCGCACCTCTTGGCCGCTCAGCGTCACAACCAAAATCATCTCTACTTTGATGTCTTTCTCCTTTGCGCTAGCTTCCGCTGTCTCGCTGGCGGGCATGATGGAGATCAGGTGTCCTCCCGGTGACATCGCCTCGACGACGCGGTCGGAGCTGCCATCCGTGCCAACACAGTCGATTGCAAACTTGATGGGGTTTCCTCCAGCCGCAGCTTTTAGCTTTGAAACGATGTTTGGGTCTTTGTAGTCCTCGCAAGCGGTCGCACCTAGGGAGAGGATAGAAGCGTGATTTCGGCTGGACGCCGTTGCGATGACTTGAAGGACTCGGTGGTCAGAACTACGGCCACAGTATGGACGACTATCGATGGTACCTTGTAATCCAGCAAGGCGCGCGAGCTGTACGGCCTGGTACCCGGACGCGGTGGACGCTCCCCAGATGAGGATATAACCATCTACAGTCCCAGCAGACGGAAACGGAAACTTCAGTCTACCGTATAAGCCCAGCACCGCAGCATAGTGGGGACCCTACACGTGAGTATGATGTTTGATCTCATTCTGCAGTACACATTAAACGAGAAAACTTACAGGCAAAGCAGCTCCCACTTCATAGGTCACTGAATTTGGTAGTTTGAAAACCATGGCCGAGTCGAAACGGGAATATTCTGCGAAGGAGCCCGTGTCGGAATGATAGCACCCAATCCTACGGTGGGTTATGGCTTCGACTCGAGGAGGGCAGTACCGCTACTTACTGCAGACAAGCAACACGATCGCCGACTTTAAGATGTTCCACGTTGGCGCCTACACGGATAACGTCTCCCGCCTAGAAAGAGGAGCGTGTTCATGGAAGGAGCGAAGATGATCACGAAGACATACGGCATCGTATCCAACGACTTTTCCTGATCCAGCTAGAGACGAAAGGTCGATTGAGATATTATCCTGGGAAGAGAGTAACCGCAACACTGACCACCTTCCGAATAAGGACCAATGGTCGATTTCCAGTCAGTTGGATTTAGTCCTATCGCTCTGATCTTGACCTGTATCGTTCACAGCTCAATAACGACACGGTAGAAGCCAATTCGAACGTACCACGATATCGCTAGGCGCGAGCGTCTTGATCTTGAAGGTATCCCGGAAGGGAATCGTCTTCACCTCCACCGTCCTATCATTGCCGGATTGTTTGGTGACCAACGCTTGGATGCTCTGAGGCAAAGACATGTTGCCATGCTCAGAGTTGGAGTCCACTGTTATATAATGACGGGTCGAGGTTCAGTGTCGAGTGCTTGGTCATTCATCGTCGCTGAGAAAGAAGATAGTGTATTTGTAAGTTGTTAACACGAACCGAGAATTCAGTTATGACCCTGAGTTGACGCCACGCTTAGAAACGCTATGTCGTCCTTTCGTGAGATATTCCGATGAGTCGGAAATTCTCTTGAGGGAGAATTCAGAAGATTAATGAATAAGTGAACTAACGAAAATAGATTTGTCCCAGTCAGCCATCATACTCGGTGAGCATAAGAGATTCAGGAAGAAAGCAAAGACAGAGAAATCGAATATTGTGTCTGCTGATGATGGTTCAGTGTTACGCAAAGAGCGCGGGTACCAGCCTATCCGAGTCGAGACCGCGTTGAGTCGATAGGCACACAAGTTGATATTAGTAACACTATCGGGGGTGTACACTTACCAATACTGCGCCACCTCTGATGCTGTTGAACGTACCGAATAAATGAGGTCGACAACAATCAGGGTGCAAATCACGCACAGATCGTATAGATTGCCAGATACACTGAGCCTGAGCCATCGCGCGAAACGTGAAAGTTATTGCGCCAGAAGCTGTCCACTTTGTCGCTGTGACTATCAACATGCGGATTCAATGTGGCTGGTTCCGAATTCCATGTTCCAGGCAACAACCGTCAATGGTAGTGAAAGTGGCGCAATCATGGTGCGAGCAGAAGATTGTGCATGTAACGAGTACATTGAAAGACATGGGTACAACAGACTTGGAGAATTTTCTCATAAATGCATTGCAAGGTCCCGTATCGCTTTGGCTTGGGGACGGATCGTCGTGAATTGTGGCCGCGGACGATCCTGAAACCACGATAGCCAAAGAGGGCGGGTCATACATCTTCCAAGGGCCAGAAGACTATCGTGTATGGGATCCTCAAAGTTCCATTTGAAGTTGAACACCGCAAAGTCCATAGCTATGACTACAGCCAGCAATGGATGCAGAGTTGTGCTCACACGCGTCTGGCCCGATATGCAGGGCTGACCGTTTGGGAGGTGTAGTTGCCCGTGTTTCTCATTGTACAAGAGAATATACGTGTATGATGGTTGTGTCGGAAATTCCTGATAAGCAACGTTGAACATGAAAGCTCGGGGGATTTTTTGGGGACGCACATCCTTGTAACAGACACGCTTCTTGACGCCGCCATCGTAGTTCGACCAACAAAAGTCGACAATATGGTTGAGCTGATCCTCCGATTGCATCAGGCCCCAGCCGTGCTTGAACAAGCTCTCGCATACGTCTTCGCGTACTACATAGTGACATGGATGAGCAACGACACTAACCTGCCATAGGCAATAAACACTTGCCCGTAGTATTGAAGGATGTCTCAGTCTCCAGCAGCGGATCCATTTCACCGCGCTTGAAGCCCATGCTGTACTCAAGGAAATCACGCTGAGAAGCCTGTGAACCAAACGATGCGTGAACAAGTGATATCTCACATCGCATAACAAATAGGGAGCGCAAGGTATCGGGGTGGTAATCTTCGGAGACGTCTTCTCAATGTAAATGTCCTCGAGTGGAACCGCAATGTCGTTGTGCATCATGGTCAATGTGAAAGGGGTTGAACGTGACAAATCTTAGTCGAAGCTAGTTCAAAAACTAAGTCCTCCGAGGTCGGTATCGATACTGCTATAGGGTGGTGAAGTAAACCCTAGGTTTGGATACACCTCGGGTTTACTGCGGTAAGTAACGGTATTGATACAGTATTGAAACTGTCAAGGGCTGGCAGGTAGGTTTCGATAGCAGCACGTGACTACCACACGTGCCGGCGCGGGAACGCTCAGAGGGCCTTGGGGTGGCGGGATCAAGGCGGGATGAGGGCGGCAGGGCGTTGCGCCACATCACGTGCCGGTATCAATACCGTTGGTAACACCCCTGGGAAGTTTACTGCGCCACCCTATACTGCTAGTAGTTACTACTCTACACCAGGAACAGTCAAAAAAGATAGCCTTCGGAGCTCGATTCCTATGCCCATTGGCTGGATTGAACAACCGACCTCACCATCGCCTTGGGGTACGAGTGGCGCGCTCTACCACTGAGCTAAACGGGCTGATTGACCTGGAGCTTGTAGCTTTTATCAATATCTCAATACCGCTGGCCGTGATCAATCACCGTTTCCAGCATCAGTTCCCTCATGTCGTCAAGAGGTGTTTGAATTTCTCGCGTACTCCTGAGTCTGGACTTGCTGCACATAGTGTTGCCGCGAGTCCGAGGCAGCTCGAACGCTGAGCTCAACTCGACTCACCTCGTTGACGGATTAGGCAGTCGAGGGCTCGAGTTTTGATGGCCTCGCTTCCTTGCCTTACCTCACTGCTGCATTCGGTCCGGCACCTGATGGTCGGAGTTTGAATACTGATTGTCTCTTTCTTACCACTGCCACCGCGTAGTTTTACTTCAATATCATCACTTTCTTACTATGCTACTTCAGGGGGCCAAGATTGCAACGACTGTTGAGATTGTCCGCCGCCTCCTTATACCTTAGGCGGGTGGCAGTGCCCAGCAGGCTCGAGGCCAGATAGACGAACTTACAAACCTTATTAATAATGCTCAGTAGAATAGTGTAGTTCACCGTATTATCATCATATATACATTCTATATACATATAACCTTCGATATCGCGTCACGTCGTGAGCTTCAGAGCAAAACAAGTAAGAACGGCGGGAACAATAGGCCGAGATGCCGATTACTATTTTGGGTGGTCGCCTCAAGGTAGCTCGGTTTGACCTTGATCTCGACTTGAGCTGCTCAAGTTGAGGTAACCCCGGTCCCCTTCCTTGAGGAAAACTCAACTCGCCTCGCAGCAACACTAGCTGCACAAAAACATCGATCAACTCAGCTGTGGGGCACGATGAGTCCGATCCTTTCTGTCTCCGCAAACTGGAAGCGAGCGAGGTGGCTACGCGCTTCCATTCAATCTTTGGATAGTGCAGTCAGCCACACCATTCCCTTCTTACCAACATGTAACCACGGACATGCAGCGACTTTGAATTCTTTTTCTTCCTCGATTTTCTCCACTTCTATTACTACCGTCCATCGCTCTCCGTCGATACCTCGGATCCTCAGAGCGGAAGTAGCGTGATCCCACCTGTGATGCGTGGACCGACTGTCGGCCCGGAAAAACCAGTACTATTCTTCTCATTAAATACCTGCTTCCTTGGTTACTTGCACGGACTCTTACGATGGCGACTCTCTTCATCCTGTCTTTGCTCTCTCTTTTGTCTTGTGCCACGGCATCTGTCATTGGCCCGGCGCTCTCTCCAGAGCTCTTCAGCCGCGCAGTCAGCTCGCAGTACGTCTTTACAGCGTTCACCAGCGCATCCGAGTCCAATCTCTACGTGTACACGTCCAACGACGCCACCAACTTTTCGTTGTTAAAAGGGCCGGCGTATACCCCTCCTACTGGACTCATTCGGGATCCTAGTGTTATCTTGCACACCGAGTACGCCGCGACGTTGATCCTTCAATGAGGGCACAGCTAACTTTCAGGTTTAGCGGGAAATACTACATCGCTTGTGCGTTGCCCCAATTCACATCCGGCTTCTACATTCATTGAAAACGAGTGGCGTAGATACTACGGATTGGACAGGAACCAACTTTGCCATCGCTGTAAGTCCCAGATGGACTCGACTTGATCTGCCATGTCGCCGACATCTTGTTGCAGAGTAGTTCCGATCTCCTCTCATGGACGCTCGTCGCGACTATACCCACCGCTTCCTCTCTAATCACGCCCAACAACACATGGGCTCCTGTACGTGCATCATTCTCTCTAATCAGATCCGCAATTGAGAGACGTGTACAGGAATTCTTCAAAGACACGCGCACTGGCAAACTCAACATCGTCGTCTCCCTCTCGACTGGGTCATACGGCCCCTTCTTGCCCTACGTGTTTACCGCCACGGACAGTACGCTCAAAACGTGGACAGGGCCCGTTGTCATGTCCGGCATCTCCAACGCGGGATTGGGCTACATCGACACGTTCCCGGTTATAGTTGGGTATGCTTTCACAATATTCCTAGTAGGAAACACTTACCAAAACGATTCTTTCAGGAGCACATATCACATCTTCGCCAAGGCTGAGACGGACGGCAAGAAGCACATCGAGCATGCGACTGCGTCGTCGCTGACCGGTCCCTACACGTTTGTGCAAACGGGCGACTTTGCGGGATGGGGACAAGCGGAGGGCGGGTGTGTTACGCAGTTGGCCAATGGGACTTATCGTCTGTGAGTACCGCCGTGGTCTTTCCCACAAAGGACTGAGCGCTGATGAGTGACTGGTGTGAAGGTACATGGACGGGTACAGTTCGGGAAAATACACGTATTCCGATTCTGCCGACTTGTATTCGTGGTCTGCGTACCAGGTGCTCCCGAGCTTGAGTGGTGTCGTGCGTCATGGGACTGTATTGCGTCAATTCTAGGTAGGGAAGTGATGTATACACAGTGAACATTTGGTCGTCGTATAATGATTGATTGAACGCGAGTTGTTTGGATGTCTGCCTCGTGAGTCAAGCTCATTGGATATTTGCTGTTCAGCAAGACGCCGACTCGATAAGATAGTTGTAGTCCACCGCGGCGTTACTCCATACCCAGGTGTTGGGCCACTGCTCCGTGATGATAGTGGTAATCTCATCCGAAGTGAGGGTGGAGGAGCTCAGGCCAGCGACCGCGGTGAGTGTGCCGTCGCCGTTATCGCTGACGGAAGGACCGACAGAGTACTGCGGTGCTTCATGTATCAGCAACCGCTCTAAATCTTGGTTTGCGATAGTACTCACGCTGGTGGTGCCTCTGGGTGACCCTCCATAGTCCGAGTTGGTCATTCTCGCCAGGAAGCCTATCATCGAGGTGTCATCGAGGGCGCGCGGTAATGAGCAACAACAACTTGAATTTACCGTAGGTAAGCTGGATGGCGGCGCTGGCAGTGTTGGTACCCTCCGATGGGGTGAGCACGAATGTGCATGCAGGTCCGTCCTCGCGCTTGTTGACACTGGTCGGGGAGGCATGCGCGAAGATGGCTGCGGCAACGGTAGCGATGAAGACTTTGGAGAACATGAACATGATGAGTTTGTCTGTTCACTCAGCGTCACTACCTGGGGTTTTATACTACACGTCTTGTGAATGATTACGCGTGTGCCTTTTGGTCAGGCATGCGGAAGAGTTTGACACATTGAAGGTAAGTTGTCCTCAGCTGTGTGTTCTCGTCTGTTCTGTCCATATGGTCCGGCGTGTGATTGGGGCGAAGAGGATTCTTATGCTCCACTGATTTCTTGTTAAATGTACTGTGATACTGGTCCTACATCGCAGGAGGAAAATGCAGAGTCTGAGTATTAAGGACCTCGGTTTCTAGTGAGGCGGCCTGTCTAAACACCTGTCAGCCAAATTCGACTACATACATAAGAGTTTCAGATCCGGCAAGCCGGTAAAGCAGTTTTCGGGGTGGAGGGCCAGCAGGGGTATCCTTGAAGAATGGCAATAGCACCTTCCTCGGCAACCCTTCCGAAATAGCACATGCAAAAATCCGCAAAAGGCATTGAACAGTAGTATGTCGTGCGATGGCTCGCACAGGTGATTTAAAACCGGCCTGCTTCAAGTACATGGTGCTTAGCCTAGCATGTAAGTTAAAGTAGTAGAATGTAATCAAGCGTGTGCCAACCAAACGGAAAACAATCAAAGGCATCCATCACATGACCGCGGTTCCTCTTGACTTCTCCCCCACGTTTTCGACACTCTGACTCGAACGTCGACGACGTCTTCAATCTGACTTTGTTTTTCCCCGTTTTGTGAACAGCAAGACATGCCCAAATCGCCGCCTTTACAAGCAGAAGCTGGTCCTTCAACGACACCTCAAAGCACGCATGAGCTATTCCAGTATACGATCACGAACTACAGCACCTGTTGGATTCGGGATATCATGACAATGGAGCATCGTGCGTAGTCTGTTTCACTCTTGCGCATACGCTCAACGCGCTTCGTAGATCCGAAAACGAAAGAGTTCTTCATGCTGGGGAGAGTGCCTTGTCGGAACGTCGAGTTTGTGGACTGTGCGTTGGAGTGGAAGATTTTGATAAATCCACAAGGATTACTGGTGTGTGTATATGTGTTCTCGTCTGAGAGCGTCAACATTCTTATGCCCTAGTCGACGATGGAACTGCGGTAATTGAATGCGTCCAGCGCAAGGATCCGGTGCCCGTACCATCCCCGACTCCAACTCGCATCCCCCCTCCCGTAGCCGAAATCGGCAGGCCCGTGCGCATTACCGGGAAAGTATTCTCATTTCACGAAACCAAACGCGTGCAAGTCAATACCATCGGTGCGCTGCTTTCCCCAGGTTTCAGGTGAAAATGGCAGTTTGACTGTTAAAGCAAGAGAGAGTGCAGTATAATGACGAACCTATACACTGGAAGCGAGTGCGGAACCTGCATGAGACTGATTACGATTTGAAGGAGCCGTTCGTTGTACCACGCGCCGCGACGCCAGAGCCACCTCCATCGTCTACACCACCACCTCCATCATCTCCTCCTCCTCCTCCAATAATAACGGCACGAGTCACTATTTTCCTAATTTCTTCAAGACTAACTGTAATGCTAGAAACTACGTGATCCCGCGCGCCTCCACACTGCCGACCTCACGCCAAACACATTCCGGATGTACGTCCAACACTACATGAAACATGCGGCCGAGGGACTCGGATTCACACTGTCGCACCTACGACGCGTCCCCGTGCTCGCCGCGCTCGCTAAACGCGTCGTAAAGGCAACGCATCGCGCCCTCCGAAAGACGAAACGCGAGACACCAAAGCTCGACGCTAGACAGCTGAGTACGAAGATGAAGCAGCTCTTTGTTGGGGCGATCCGGGAGCTGAATTTTGAGGGGAACATTCTCTTGTGGGAAGGCCCTGTGGCCAAGGAATCTGCCCTGGAGGACAGCGCGTTGTGGAAGACACAGGCAGAGACGCAGGATGTGACTGCGATGACGACGATACTGGGCGAAGACGCGGAGGTGTCTGAGCCTGAGGAGGACGAGGAGGCGTATGTGCCGACGGACGCTTATTTGCGG